GGGCGTTCTTGGTGAGGGAGCTGATGTTTAGCTCCCCCCAGTCAACTGGGGAGTCACACAGGATGATGGGGGCGGGTGGGGCTGGGTTCTTCCTAAAGTCCACAACTTAAGAATCTAATTCTGTGAAAAATGTTACGTAATTTGCGAGTAATTAAAGGGAAAACTATGACCTCCAATCAATTGCAGTTAGTGAGTGTGGCAGGTCAGGTGAGCATGCAGTTCAAAAGAAGCTAACATTGTGAAATAAATAATGAATACATATGCATTCTTATATACATATTCTTGCTTATAAACTGAAACAACAGGGCCAGTCGCACTCTTCATTGTGAGCTTTGAAACACAAACATCATTACATTTGAGACGTAGATGCTTATCTTTACTCCTTTATGACTTTTTGACACATTTAAACCTGGATCATATTCTACTTTATTATAATAATAATAATATACAAATCAAGAAAAACACTAAGGTTTGGTACCAAATATCTCTACTGTCCCTGAGGGATTATACGCAACAGTAAAGAAATCGGAGCCAGGTGAAGTATTGTTAGAAAGTCAGAAAGAAGGCGTCACACTTTCTTTATTTCACTGCAGAGATGGGGAGACTCTGAGACTCCTGGGAGATGGCTAATATAGATGTCCAACTTGAAGTGGGGGTATGGCCTCCCTGCATTCCTCTGCAGAAAGAATGCAGCGTCTTCATCACAGCTTGCCAGGGTTAAAGTTTCAGACAGGGCGACTGAACTGAGATATTTCACTTGTGTCTGACATTTGAACTTGAAAAACATTCTCCCCCAAACTATCGAATTTTAAAGAAGACTATTAAAAAATATTTGAGTCAGTCTGCCAAATTTAAGCTGCAAAATAAAACTTATGGAGGAGTGGAAGGTTGTTGATGGGAGGCAACCTGCGGATCCGTCTTACATCCATCAAATTTTTCTAAAAGCTAAGCAGCTAACCTTTGTCTGGGTCATATTTCTGCTTTGTTTGATGCCGTCCTCTTCCTTTCTCTCCCCCCATCACTCACTGCCCGTCAGGGCTATAACGGTTGATGTTGTATCACCGCGCACAATGCCGTCAGAAACCGAGGTGCATGTGGCGAGGAGCTTTCTCACCAAGATTTTGCGAAGTTCTATGAGGTACCTTTAGCCAGCCACGTCCTGTTGTGTTTGCTGGTAGTTTTTGGTGGTCATTGAGTTTTACATTGTGCTTTGTGTTCCTTTTATTACCCCGTGTGGTGCTAGTTGTCCAAACCAAATATTATTTTAGTTGTAATTTGTGCATTTGTGTTTGTTATTTTTGTCCTAAAAGTTCCGTTGCCTCATGTGTTATTATTTGGTTTTGTCATGTTTATATGTCATGAAGTTACAATATTATTTATTTTTTTTTAAATTAGGATGTATGATCCATTCACCATGTGTAATTATTTTCTTTGTCAACATGCTCTCCAGGAGAAACCGCTTCAGGCAAGGGTATGTGCAAGTTTGGTGTGAGCAAAGTCGAAAGTACAGTAATGTACAGTTTCTTTCTTGGGTGGTTACCAAGGTTTGGATCATATAAGAACTCAAATATCTAATAGATCCCAATACATTAGGGCTGCCCCTGACTAAAAATGTTCCTAGTCGACAAGATAAAACCAATAGTCAACTAGTCGTCGCACGTTTGTAATATTATTTAATTATTTAAATATACATTTTTGAATAGCTGCCTGTTAAATACTAACAGAAAAAGCAGTAATGATTCTGAATGTCTCAGAACAACCAGCAAGGGGACTAAACATTTTGTTTATTTCAACACGATATAACATCACATAAGCCTCGTTCAAAACGTGGAAAAAATAACTTCCAACTTCACTAAAACAAATACTTGCAGACATTTCCTCCTTTTCACGCCTCTCCTGTCGCTGCTTGAACCCTATGTGTCTTTATCCCCAAAATCAGAGTCCTGGACGGAGCCACTTTAAAACAGCCAGACAGTTTATTTGTTCATTCCAGCCCCTGCATGGTCCCTCTGCTCCTATACTAGTAGTGTGTTAAAAGTGGGTCGACTAAGACACTTCTCAGTGACTGACAGTTAAGTCGACTATACACATGAATGTAAGTCCAGTTCACAGTCCTGATGCAGAACCTTTGATGGCACATAAAGTACTGAACAACAAACCGGATACAAATCCTGTAATGAAATTTAACATATTAAAAAGGGAAGCATTCTCAAACACATCCATACTCAGAGACTTGAAGGAGATTGTCATTCATGTTTGGATCCTTATTGATAAATGATTTTAGGATCTCACCCCTGATCTGCAAATGCTTTGGTTGTTTGGAGATTTCCTGGGCAAACAACCTAATGTTAAACTATTGTACCTGACTGTACAAAATCCGGCATCTTACGTAAAATAATCTTAAACGTCAAATACACCCTTGTGATTGAGTTAAGTGTTTTGTTGCAGGAAGAATGATCCAGGCTCGCGGCCCCATTCCTGGCACTCCTCCAAGCTGACAGAAGAGGAGTCAGAGCCCACCAAGAGAGAGACCACCCCAGCACCGGTCTGGCAGCCAAAACATGAAGCAAGGTGAGCCTTTTTGGTTCTCTTTGAGCTTCTCTGTGCATTAAACAGGGCAGAAAACATATTTATTAATTTGTTAGCCACAAGCCTGATCAGATGGCCAATCACTTCTCAAGTATAAAGTAACAAAGGTAGCATTATGACTTAGCATCACAGCATTAATTTTTTTCCTGATGTTACATACCAGGCCCAAAGAGTCATCCACTCAAGGGGACAGCAAGCATCAGCTAACCAGCCAGTTGAGCTCAGTGAAAAACATGGAGAAACTGGAACGTCCTTCTCATCCCTACCCACCAAGTCGTCTTTCACCAAACAAATACATCAGCAGCACTGAGCCACTTTGTGGACCAGGAGGCAGAAAAGACTCCGGGTTGAGCTGTTTCTCCAGCGGCTCCAGCCCTCCTGTTCATGACTCCAGCACATCTGGAAGGAAGGGTACAAGCACTGAAAACATTTTCTTCAAGGGCCTTCAGAGTGTTCAGAGTGAAGGGCCGCAGCAGGCCGAGCGGCCCAGGTACCTGCAGCCAACGCTGGGGAACGGAGGCTGGGAGGGGTCAAGGGCAGAAGAACAGCCTGCCTCTCGGGTGTCCATTTCAGGGAGACCCAGCATCGGCCCAGTGTGGCAGGTACCAGAGAAAAAGAAGTCCCAGTCTCCTCCTCCCCCACCTCCTCCCTTGCGCAGTGACAGTTTTGCTGCCACAAAGGTGTTCCCTTACTCTGAAGGGCCTATTGGTCCAGCAAAGTGCAAAGGAAGGTCATTTGAAAAACTGACAGAAAATAACGATCTGAATGGCCTCAGATCTCACCAGGAGAAAACCTCAGAGGCCAGACACAGCATCAACCCCATGACCACCAAAGACTTCCTCCATCCCAACATGGCAGCTGACCACAACCACAACCAGCTGCACCCCAACAAACTCTTCTCCCTGTCCAGCAATGATGTCAGACAGTCTCATTACACCCAACTACCTGCCCACCAGAGGCAATATAGTGATGAAAGCCCCCTCTACCTGCAGGCTAGGTCAGCTCCTCCCACAAAGATACAGAGTGTGGGAAGCTACTATCGCAGCCTTCAGGATCTGCCCACAAACGCCTTCAGCCGCAAACAGATCCGGCACTCCACAACGTCTGTGGCAAGTTCTGTCGCAAACCCAAACCTGGATAATGAGGGTAACAACAGATACTATGGCCTGGCAAGCAAGCATTTGGTTCAGAATACTGAGCTTCAGGCCAGGCAGGGCAAAGCAGAGGCACGGAGGGGGGAAACAGAGAAACTCCACTGGGTAAACAGCAATGAACCAAGTTCTTTGAAGACCAACATTAAGGCAAAGTACTTCCTACCTCCGTTCCAGATGCCTCACAGTGAAAATAAGGAACGCAATGGCCAATCCCATCTGGGGAATGGTCTACATCATGACCACCAAACCTCTGAACTTTCTGTTCGAAGCTGCAGCCCAGAGGAAACTGCAAAGAGAGGGGAAGGACACTCTAATGACATGAAAAGACACTTCCTAACACATCAAAGTAATGATCATAAGGTCAGTCTTGCAAGGCACCAAGACCCATGGGTGCCTCAGGAAGATCACAGGATATCCCCCCTGAAAACCCCACTTCTCCACTCCCTGGCCCAGGAGAGTAGGACCCTGGTTGAGAGGCAACCAGCAACTATGACAATGGGTGTCATGTCGACCCAGGAGGCCAGTGACATCATGGCCGCCGGCAGTGGAAAATCAAATCGGCGTAGCGACCGTTATGCTACCTCCCTCCGCAATGAGATCCAGCAGAAGAGAGCCCAGCTGCAAAAGAGCCGCAGTGCTGCAACCCTGACATGCGAGGCAGAAGATGAGGAAGCAGAGGAGTGGAGATCTACAAAGACTTCTACGTCGTCTGGTGGCTCTTTCTCCAACACCTACAAGGACCACCTGAAAGAGGCACAGGCAAGGGTCCTCCAGGCCACCTCCTTTCAAAGACGAGACCTTGAGCCTCTTGGGCCAGAGGCGCCGGTAGTTAAAACCTCCAATGGACGCATTAGAGGTCGTAAGCGCTTCCCCCTGGCCAAGAGGACACACTCCTTCTCAGAGCCTGACAAGATAGATAAAGTGGGAGTGGAGGGAGAACCTCAGACAGGGTCTTTCGGAGAGCGGAGGAAGTTCTTTGAAGCCAAACCGGCATTTTCCAGGCCTGTGCGGAAGTCCAGTCAGGGTAAAAATTTTAATGCAGACCTTGGTGAGACAGACAAACCCAAAGAGAGACCTCCAACTGGAGATCCTGAGGATGCTCACCCATCCGCAGACCCCAACGACCTTAGCCATGGACATAAGCAGGTCTTACTAGAGCAGCAGAGGCTTGGGACCTTCGCTGAATACCAGGCCACGTGGAACAAACAGAAGAAGTCATCAGAGGCCAAGGCACAGGGGAGGTTTCACTCAGCGGAGAACATCTTGGATGCAGATGCTGAGGAGAAGGCTGTGTGCATCCACGAAAGATCCCGATCTTCTCCCTCTGCAGACTTTTATACACAGGTGAGAAGCCCAGAAAATAAATAAATATATATATTTATTTTTGTATCTATCCAAACAGAAGCAGATGACCTACCAAGTCTGTTCGAGTACCTATTTGACAAGATTTTTCCAACATGGGGCTTAGTAATGATTAATGGCATTAACAAGAGTTCATAAATGGATTTGCATTAAGTTAAGTGAAGAGGCCCTTTACCTTTCTTTTGCAGAACATTCCTTCCCCATGGAGAGACCCTCACAGCCAGCAGAGCAGTTACACCACCAGGTAAGAGAGGTTTACAGTGTTTGCACATATTAAACACAAGACACACTACAAGACTTTTAAAGTTGTGAGATCTGTGTACAATTCACAGTACACAACTTCTAGTCTTGTATCGGGAGTCGTGAAGGTGTGGTATTCACACTACAAGACAAATCAGCAACACTACAAGATCTTTCACAACCAGTCACAACCAAATGATAAGAAGCGCATCATGTTTAATTAGGAAAGTAGTTTAAAAACATGTTCAAAGGGCAACCATCTACAGTATTTATAATAATATAAAAAAGGCTAAATGGACAATTGAATAAACAAAAAAGGAGTTCTTTATGCATGTATTACTTTCAATTCCCAGTAAGTGTCTTGCCAAAGGGTTCAGTATAATAAATATCTAATAACCTGAAAGGATGGCACAGTGTTTGCCATCGCTGCACTGTCCAAGGTGTCCATCAGAACGCCTAACTGCTCCCTCTAACCTGTCGATTGCTCTGTAACATCCGCCAAAAAGAAATTCCTGTAAAGTTTCATGCAAATGTGGAATGTATTAGAGTGGTGACATTTCAGGGCACAGTGAGAAAACGTCTCAGTTTCTCATTTCAGGTTTCCTGAACAGAAAGGAAAATATCATTTTCTGTCATACTAGATCTCTTCTCAACCTTATCTCATGTTGTTGGAGCTCATGTTGATGTGAACAGTGTCTCTTGGAGTCCTGTAACAAACTACACCCAGATTTACAAAAGTGTCTGTGCAATTACAAGTGATTTACAGCGGGTGGAGAGTGTATCATTTTATCCTTATCATGATCACATTCGTGGCTAAATACTGAAATGAATCCACATTATTGCCTCCTTGTTCACATGCTGCCTTTCAAGAAATCCAACATTCAACCCCAAGTGTCAACAAACCTTGCTTGAATTCCATCTTTCTAGTGTTACATGCACCTTTTTAGTGGGTGGTGTTTAAATAAGATGAAATTCCAACCACTGAGGGGATTTGTGCAGTTGTGCATTCTCTCATTTATAAATTAAAAGGCCCATAAATAAATAATTACTTGTAATGGCCGTTTCATCTCAGTTTTAAAAGCATGGCTTTTTAGATGATTGAATGACTAGTTCTTCAGTTTATTTTAAACATTTAAGGCCAGCTATATAATTTTATCCTGGAAACAATTCTGAAACTTGCAAATTCCAAACAAATTTGACCAATCACAGAACTTCTAGTGATTTTATTCTCACAACTTCAAGTTTTCGAAGTGTGCAAAAACATTTAGCTTTTTTTTTTTTTTTACAAATTTGACATTTTAACACAATTAAAATTGATAGATTGCCACCTGTGGTAAATGCCACATGGGCCACAAATATAAACAGCCTAAAGAATGGCACCTACACACAGACTTACATCCTAAACAAAGCTATGAAACCTACACCTATAGGGGTAGGATCATTTTATAGAACAATCTTTAACAGAGTTGTTGTTGTTGTTGGTTTTAACAGTTTGACCTCCTTTGTTTGGTAAACCTACACTCTTCCCTCAGGTACTGATGAAGTGTCTTTATTTTGACCTCCAGGAGTAAAACTGAGAGCAGGCTGCGACACCAGCCCGACCACAGCCCACAGCCTGCCCCGTCAGTCCCCAGAAACGAGGCCCCGCTCCCGGGCCTCACCGACCACAGGACCAAACCAGACTCTGCCAATCCCTCCCACACCACACACTCCTCGGGCCCTCGCAGCCTCAGCCCTAACCCTGGCTCCCAGCTTCCACAAACCAAGGGCCTCCTGCCGCCGCCCAGGCCCCATTTAGGCCCAGAAACCACATCCTCCTCCCAGGAATTCCTCGCTGGCGCCCAGGCAAACCCGGCAGTGCTCCAGCCTCTGTCCAGCTGCAGCTCTGACACCCAGCACCACGCACAGAACTCCTCCGCCAGCCCGGCCCCCGCCCCGGCCAGCCCCCCTCATCCCAGCAGGACGTCCGGAGCGGACACGAGCAGAGGAGGTGTAGAAAACGAGGAGAAGGATCAACCGCAGCCACCTTCTTCTTCATCCCTGTTCTCCTCCTGGACAGGCGCTTTGTCTCTTCCCACAGATCGAGTGCGCTCTCCCTCGCCACAGTTTGCACCACTGAGACTGACAGACAGACCACCGGCAGTGTTCGTGCAGGATGATTCACCGCTCAGGTAAGCAGCTTAGCCAAAGGGCTACAGGTCTCCTCGCCGTGAAGCTTGTCCCTTCAGTTCGAGCATAGGAGGCTTTGAATAACAACCTCTGGTAAACAAGTTCACCGTATAAAGATGGAAGCAAAGTCAGACAGCGATAAACAAAACTGAGTGTAGAAAGAAAAGGTGATGATTGTGCTCAAATGTCAGACTTTAAATAACACACAAAATGGCACAAATGACAAAAAGTCAGAGGAACGAACAGAAGAAGAAGCTTATTTTGCTGAAGCTGCTGAAAATGCCAAAATGTGCCCACAGAGAGGAGTCTGATTGCGCTTGTAGTGGATTTCCCCTGCGGCCTGAGACAAATCGAACTGCAGGCTGTAATTTGCAGTCCTACCATACGATCCGTCCTTTAATTAGAAACGGTCGAATGTGTAGCTCTAAAGTTTTCTAAAACACGTGTTTCCACACATCAGTGATGAAATGAGGATTTAAACTTTTGACTGAAGTGATGTTTTGTCCCATTTACAGTACCTCATTTTAAGCGCTCTGCCCACTTTTCTTCAGTCTTTGAGGATTGGTAGGATGAAGAAGACTTAATCTCTAGCATTGCAGTATGATCGGGAGCCAGAAAAGTTAAAATCTTTGCATTATTTTTTGCATTTGCTTTGCTATTTTGCATAAAAATAAACTGCTAGAAAAAATGTAATCAATGAATTGGTGTAAGAATAATCTAAATTATAAACCTTTCCTCTCTTTTTTCACTCTTTAATCGTGGATATTTGATACAAACATTTTGAAATATAGAATACCTTGCTTTTCATATCATATTAGAAGAAACTTTAACAAATGATGTGCGAAATTTACAAAATAGAACATAATAATTAGTATTCAGTGACTGTTTGAGGGGCAGGGGCCACCATGTTGCCCCCATGTCTGAAACAACAGGCCTTGTGTGTGTTTCCTGTACAGGTCAGAAAATGATGTCAAGCTCCCGGCAGTGATGGATGTGAACAGTCCGGCGAGGAAGGTCCCCGTGCGGATCGTCCACGCCGAGAGCAGCACGGAGCGCGAGGGCAGGGCCTACCTGCCTCAGAGTGGAGACACCTGCAGTGTCCTGGAACCGCCGCCCCGCATCCCCTCCCTGAGCGCCACGGAGCGCCCAGCCTCGTCCCTGTTCAGCGCTTACACCCGCCAGGCTGATCAGGACCAGGAGTCGGTCCCTGAGTCAAACTCGACGGGTGCTCGGTGCTCAGAGGAGGACGCCAAGAGAGAGGAGCTGGCCAGGGACATCATGGGTAAAGACAAGTCTCTGGTGGACATCTTGGACCAGAGTGGCAGGATGACCACGATGGACCTAATGGAGGGACTCTTCCCCACAGAGGAGCAGATCCTGGAGGGGACCCTCCAGCGCAGGAGGGCCTCCTCCGGCTCCAGGCTGCCCACCTTATCCCCCAGGAGCATGGACAGGTGGGCAATTTTATCAGCACAGCCAGATCAGCCAGATAAATCTGTAACTGTAGATGATCATAAAATTACTGCTTATTTAAAGAACATTTCCTCTTCTTCCACATAAAAAGTTAAAATACATTTAAAAATGTATAATATCTTTCTTCTTTATTTACTGTTCATTTAATAGATTAAACTGGTAAATTCAATTCCAAAGTTATGTAAAATTTGTTATAAGTTGTTATTGTTATTGTTGTTTAGCATATATGGATATAAATATAAAAGGAAAAAAACAGGTGAAAGGATTAATTAAATGATAATGGTTTGGTATCTGTTTTCCAGTCCAGCCTCAGTCTGCCTGCCCTCTGGTGGACAAATGTCTCATTACAGTTATCTCCTCTGTTCAAAACAAGAATGTCGACCTGCTCTGTAGTTTTTTTTAGCAGATGGATTTTAAAGAGTACTTTTCACTATTTCTGTGTGTGTTCTGGCTATTGAAGGTTACAGTAATATTCCCATATGTCCCTCTTATCTTAATGGTTATGTCATTAACAAACATTGTGTAAATGGTGTCAAATTAAGACACTGACTACGTTTACATGCACAAAATATACAGTTTTTTTGCCCTTATTCCAAAAAGACAGTATTTCTACAAAGTAAATGAATCAGGAAAATGAATATTCCACTAATAGTCCCGTTTACATGCCGCTGTGCGACAAACTGCAGTCATGTTGCTCTCGTGGTACTGCTGGAGCCTTTTGAGCCAGTTTGCCTCTTTGCATCGAAAGAGGATATTCTCAAAGTTTCGACTTGTTTGACCGTGTGAACACATCCTCCCTTTCATTCATTCAAACACCATCCTGAAAAGGTTTGCATATCCAAAAATCTGTTGGTATCTAGTCTTTCATAATGTTTAAAGGTAGGCGTGTTTCTCCTACCGACCAGAAATGTGCTGCTTTTCTTTTGTGCATGCATCTGTTGGTTTGTTGGTTTGTTTACAACACACAGAGCTGACCGTATACAGGGAAATGGCTTTGTTTTTCCTAATAATCGGGTGTGATTTCATAGACTCTGGAAAAGAAAGATGTCTCAGAACCTCTGCTCAGCTGATTACTTCTGTGTGTGTGTGTGTTAGGAGGGAGGAGGAGGACGTGTCCGTATCAGCAGCAGCCTCCCTGGTCCCCAGCTCCTCCTACTACAACACATCAGCTCCCAAGGCGGAGCTCCTCATCAAGATGAAGGACATGCAGGAGCAGCTGGAGGAGCAGGACTCCGAGGACGAGCTGGACGTCGACCTCGCCAGTAAAAAGGTAAAACCTGCTGATCAGTTAATCAGCCTCAATCAGTCAACGTCAGCATACCCTCGAAAGAATATTCCTTCTCTGTTTGTCCTCTTCATGCTCTCCAGCAAGAGCTGATCTCCAGCCTGGCAGGGAAGCTGGAGGTGCTGCGGGAGGCCCGGCACAGCCTGCAGGAGGACGTGGAGGACAACGAGGCTCTGGGCCACGAGGTGGAGGCCACCGTGCAGCGCCTCTGTCAACCCAACCAACTCGACAAGTTCCGGATGTTTGTGGGCGACCTGGACAAGGTGGTGAGCTTGCTGCTGTCGCTGTCGGGGCGGCTCGCCCGGGTGGAGAACGCTCTCAATAGCCTGGAGGAAGAAGCCCCGCCAGAGGAGAAGGTAACAGCCAGTGGGAAGATCTTTAGATCTGTACAGATAATGCATAAATGATTCCTGATCTATAACTGCTAATATCCACCTTTCATCAGAGAACACTGACGGAGAAGCGCAAGCTGCTGATGCGGCAGCACGAGGATGCCAAGGAGCTGAAGGAGAACCTGGACCGTCGGGAGCGGCTGGTTACTGGCATCATGGAGGCCCACCTGGACGCAGAGAGCCTGGATGACTACCGGCACTTTGTGAAGATGAAGTCGGCCCTCATCATCGAGCAGCGGAAACTAGAGGACAAGATCAAGCTGGGCGAGGAGCAGCTAAAGTGCCTGATGGACAGTCTGCCGCTGGAGCAGAGACCGCTGTTCTGACGCTCTGCACTGCAAGACGAATCTGGTTTTGCAGGAGAAATACTGGATCAGGAAGTTGGGGGACAATGTCTACGTTTGAGGGTGCTACGTCTCAGTTCAGGGTCGAGACCATTTCAAGCCTCTATTTCATGCCAGTTGTATTGTTATTGTTTCTCAAAATGAACATTTCCCATCTGGTCCTTTTCACCAAATATTTCTGTGAACTAAGGAGCCTTAGAAACTAAATAAGGAACTGAGATTAGTCAATTAGACGGATAATTTAACAATAATCTTTCGTTTTGTTCCGATACAGCCGAAAACACGGTATTATGGAGTATGTGTGTCGGTGCACCGGTCCGATGCCACTTCACTCAGTGCTCTAGTACTCAGACTTGGCCATTGGTGTCGCCAAATATTCTAGTTGGTCTTAACTGAGATTTCCCTAACACCATTGATGAAGCACGCTTCAGAAAACAAACATGCATCCCAGTTTTTTTTTGTTGGAAAAGCTGACGTAGAATCAGGACCACAACAATAGACCACAACAATATATATACATATATTACACGTGTATTGGATCGGTATTAGCCGATACGCATTTTTCCATCTGTTAGTATCCCAAAGTCAAGGTATTTCATTTACTTAAGTTTCCAACTCAACTTAGTGGGAATTTTAAAGTTATAACACATAAACATCTATGTGTGAAGACATCAAACACAAACGATGCTAATGGTGGCCAGCATTTTGTTTCTAGAAATACTGGTCACGATTAACACGCGTGACTTTAGGTTGAGTGTTTCTGCAGAAATGTCTGAAAAGTGTCGATACTGAAACGCTGATTTTAGATATTAATTGAGCCCTGTATGAATTTGCACTTCAGCGTCCCCTTGAGGCGAAGATGGGAAAGTGAAGCAAACACACGAACATTTGGTTGTCTGTTCATCTTACAGTGTTTCCAGTGTCCCGTTGTTATTTGTGTTTCTGAATTGTTGTATTTAAGCTGCATCATGAGCTCGCTCTCCCTTTGTATTTAATCCTCATTAAGAGTTTTTAAGTAATATTTCCTAGTAATTTATGGTAGCCTTTTTGAGAACTTCTCTGGACAATGGGGGAAATGTTTCCTCAGTAATTTATTTTGACTCATGACGTACTTTTTGTTTTCTAATGAAATGAAATGAAGAGTTTGATTACAAAATGCTATAAATCTGTTTTAGGGTTACAATCCAGTTTTTTAAAAAGTGTTAAGTTATCTTTCCTGCTTTTACAACACACCATCGCTTCCTCTGTGTCCTGTATTATTCCATAAGGGTAGATGTCACTTTTACATCTCATTTTGGAGTGAAACTCTTTAATTAATGCTAGAATAAGAGGTGAATCTGATCATTTCATTCTCATTAAGACAATGCTGACTTGTTCCAGCAGTACAGATGTTGTTCCTACTTGTTTTCTATACGATAAGACACTATTAATATTCCTTGGATTGTTTTGTTTCCTGTAACCTTACAGGTTTTCATTCACACTCCTGATTCATGTACCTTTTCTACGTTCTCACAGTAAAATGACTGAGGCACAGTTCGGGTTTCTGAAGAGGTTAATCTAAAAGTTAGCACTTTAATCTTTGGTTTGGCGCATTCAGGGGAATCTCTACATAATATATTTATTTGAAGACGTGCCTACTGTAGCCTCCCACCACTGTGAACCTCATGGACTGACATGGGCGTGCCCCTGGGTACTGTGTTCAGCCCATGCACACTTTATGTATGCAGTGCACCCTTTCACCAACTTTCAAAGCAATAAAATAATAAAAATTAGAGATCTAGTCTTGTTTATTTTATTATATCAAATAAGTTTTATGTTATGTTACTGAAAATATGTGATACCTCAACTAACTCACCTCATCTGTGAATCGAATAGTGTTCATTCAAGTAAAACCTCCAAGTTGCCTCCTTTTGGAAGAAGTGGAAAAGAGGAAATTATGTCATATGTCCTTTTACGTACACTTTTCCTTGACCTCAGTGGAAAACGCCCTGAGCTCGTGGAATAATGTGAAGGAGAAGTCTTACAGGATTGGCTAATCACCATCGGATGTGTAACAAGGGTGTGGCCTATCTAATGGTGCTTTCCATTAACTTCCGAAGTCTAAAGTCAAGCCTAGTTAGCCATTAGCCATTATTAGCAATATCAGCTGATAATAGCACATTGCCCTGTAATTTAATTTGATTACGTTTATTTTTTAATGAACTTATCTGGTTTTACAGTGTATGATTGTTGATCTTAAAGAAAGAGGTTAAAGAAATAAGAAATACATACACAGCCAGAGCATAATCCCTTTAAGACTTTAGCAATTTTGCAGCATTCATCACTGCATATTGCCACTAATAGACTTAATTATTAATTATATAATTTTGATGATTTAATTTAATGATTGGACAAAAAAAACTAAATGCTGATTTTGCATTGATGTCTTTAAATGTCCACAGTTTAAGATGATCAGAAAATACTAATTAGGTCTTACATGAAACAACATTTAGAGCTTTATGGTCTGTTTAAGAGGACTTTCTGCCCTGGCTGGAATCAATTGATCATATTTGAAGTCAGGTCAGCCAGGGCCTTCGGTGTACACTCTCAGTATCAGACTGGTCCTATGTTGTGACCTTTAAAACAGTCAAAAGTACTTCATGTTTATGTTTGCTTAGGTGGGGCAGGGTTGGCGCGGAAAGAGACAGGTGGGGGAAGATGAAGGAGTTTGATTCAGGAGAATGTGAAATCTTCATTTTATGACTTGGTTTAGTCGGCTGTACAATATTAGAGTCAATTTCATTTCATATTAGAGACTTACAGTACAACACAAACCTTGTTTTTATCATCTCTAAGCTTGTGCATACGTTCTCAGCAAGTCTTTTATATTTAATCCTGTTATATATTTTCTGTTTACAATCTCTGATGACGTATTTTCATTTATTGCTCAATTCAGTGAAACAGTAATCATCACCCCACATGTTCATGCACTCGCCAACATTTTGGACTTTTGCTGCACCTTTTTGAAAAAGCATCATTTTGGGTATAATGTTGTTTTAGGAGATAAAATCAATACCAGTATATTTACGTTACTTAGATTTCAAGTAATACTTTAAAAATAGTATTAATAAAAAAGAGTTGAGTATCCCAACACTGCAGATGATGTTTAATACATGATTGAAAAAGGAAGCTGAATGTAAGGTTTAAAGGATCATCCTATTAGTCTGTATTCATGTATCTTATAAAAAAAGAAATAGGCTCTCAGACGGGAGCAACACCCTACTGTCCATCAGAGCCAGCTATATACTGTCAATCATTTACAATCTTGTGGCGTGATGGGAAACTGTATCTAGGTTATTGGAGATGAGGAAGTGCTGTGTTGCGTCTGTGAATTTAAAAAGAAGCTTTCCTGTTCATGGCTTTCAGAGTTTGAAGACGGCCGACAACAAAGCAGCACTCAGGTAGGAGACAGAATGAGGAGTTTAGTTCCATAATGGATTGATTGCTTGTTTTAAACTGCATATGCTCAGCGTAGGTGTCAGTTTTATCCTCTTTGAATTGTGTGAGTTCATTTGCAGAAGCTTTTCTTTTGCCCTTGAACCAGGTTTCCTCATTGTCATCATTGATTGTTAAATAACACTGATGTGCATAATTCCTTATTCTGTGTTTTATTTCCGCTCATGCTGCGTTCAGTCGATGAATAATAACAGTAAAAATAAAATAAAATAATAATATTTAATTTTGACATAAAACATTTGATTTGTATTTTAATATAAGAAAGTTAGCCTGGTGTCACTAACATTCATTCAGTCTAAAGCAGTGGTCCTCGAGTGGGTTGTAGGGGGTCCCGAGCAAAAGGAGGAATAGAATATTTTAACTTTTATCAAATTTTTTTGGAAGTTGGAACAGCAAGACTTTATTATCTTAAAAAAAACACCTTTAATTTACCTCAACAGATCCATATTTGTTTGGCTGTTTAACAGCTTAGCAACTCTCATACTTTTTATGAAAATCAAACAGCAGAAGGCGAAAAACAAATATGGACATTCTGCACATTTGATCAACATCATTTAAACCAAACATCATAAATCTCACTCATGATCTAATTTTGGGGGGTTCGAGTGATAATTAGCTTTTCAGATTCAGCAAACAGCACAGAATTACTGCGATATTCCAAAATGGTCAACAATGAAGCTTTATAGCTTTATAAACCTTTTTTTTGATACACACCATCTCTCTGTATTCATATGACACCAATAAACATTTATCCTAATTTTATTATTTTAGGACATCTTGCCTCGGCTCTACATTGTCCACTTTTACTAGTCTAAGCTGTATTTTGTTTTTTGCGGTCAGTATTAGCACTGAAATGTGTCGGCATGCTAACATCATTGTGTTACCACATGTTTGTCTGTAAACATGGTGTAGTAATATGTAGACTAACATCAAATACTTGATTTCATGTTCTATTATTGTCTGTTGAGCTAGTCCAGTCTAATGATGGCACATCAACTCACTATTGAGAATATTTGATCTCTTTTTTGTATTAGTTGTTTATAGCAGGGACAGTTGAGGGCCAACAGAAGAGGAATCCAAAGCATTGCTCTTTTGTCTTCTGTGCTGCTACACTGAAGAGCTCATTAACACCTGTGCCTGTGTTTCCGTCCCCTCAGAGGGAGCTGCAGGTGCTTGTTTGCCAGGTAACCCAGGTGAAGAGGAAGAAGAAGAAAAAAACGCAGGGAGAGGGTGAACGAGCTGCAGCCACAGAGATCTCGCTCTCATTCTGGATATGTTAACACACCTTCCACATGGCTGTGATCTCCTGATGATGCCCGCTGCAGGTGGGATCTGGACTTCCTAGGTAACTTCTCCACTGCTATGACCTACCTGGCTCACACCGCCCACGCCCAGCTCGTCGCCCTCTGGCTGGGCTGTGTGGGCTGGACGCTCACTGCCGTGGCCCTTGGGCTCATCCAGTGGAGGGTTTGGCAGGTGTCCGACAGGGAGGTCATCAGCTCGGGGGTGGCCTGGGTGGGCGTGTGGCGGGCCTGCTTCAACAGCCACACCCTGGTGACCCCTGGCTTTAGGGTCATGCACTGCAAGTACATCAGCCTGACCGAGGCCTTCACGCCGCCAGAGATCATGGCAGGTCAGATTCTCATGCTACTGTCTCTGCTCGTGGGGCTGTGTGGGAACGCTGTCGGCGTTTATGCCTTGAGGAACGCCTACTTTGGGTTGGAGAAGTCCCCGCCGATCCGTTTGGTGTTCTCCACCACCGGTGCGCTGTGCCTGTTGGCCGCTGGGATGTCACTCATACCTCTCCTGTGGAACCTGAGCTCAGTGGTGACCAATCAGACCATAAAGTTCCCCCCGGAGTTTAAAATGCCCCCAGCTCCTGATTCTCAACGCGTGGGGGTCGGCATTGGGGTCGGGCTGGTGGGGACGGTCCTGATGATCTTCTCTGGGATTACTTTCTGTACGTACAGGTTACCAGTGAGGTCACAGCCGTCTCTGAGAGAAGAGCTGCACCTGGACTCACCTGTGCAATCTGCGACTTACAACCGGGGGGCTTTCACAAGCTCTGGGGGCAAAGACAACCCAGCGTTTGAGGCTCAGGAACACTTATAAATATCATCATATCTTTTTTCCCCTTGTGCAGTTTATATCCTTTCTCTAGATATACTCTATACCCAACCTGGGGGTCGGGACCTCCACTAGGGGGCTTCACAGGGGGGTAGCGAGGCCTTCTTGATTTTAAGGGGTGCTAGAGAACAAATCCTTAAATTGTTAAGTAAATTGTCTAATAGAACACAACACTGAATTTGTTTTCAGTTACTGAGTTTATTATTTGGGTTTGTTGTATGTGTTAAATATCCATAAAATATGTCACTTATTCAGTTTACTAAATGTTAGAAAACAGGACCTTTAAGGAAAAAGGTTGGGGACCACTGCTCTGTGGTACTGTGTCATATATTAACATGGATCTCCAGCTCACTGTTTTTATTTAAAGGTCCCCTAAAAACATGTATTAAGACACACATACCAATAATCAGCTTGGAACAATAATGTCTGTCTGGTATGTTATTTCTGCAAAAAAGTATAATTTTTCTATGGTAAAATGCTTCTACCTCATTAAAGATTCCAAGGGTTGTTGCGGCCTGAAATTACAAAAACATTGCGATTCATGTTGGTTTTTGCAAGAAGATGAAAGACACTGGAAGATATAAAGGGCTGTATAGAAACCAGAGGCTCTGCAACCTCTGTAAGGACGTAATGTAATCGTGTCGCATTTTGTTTGAATGTAAGCATAATGAACTACTGCTTTCATAATGCTAAAGTATATTTTAGAAACCTATGTTTAGATTGATTTTTGATTGTAATCAGATAAGCCTGAAATTATCTGTAAACTAGCTCCTTATGAAGAATGTCCTTCCTTTGTTTAAGTAACATTTGTTGTACTTCAGCTGTGTGCTATCATTTCATACCATCATGGTCATGAGTTGCAAATAAATGAATAAATGATTGAAAATTGCAAAAACAGTTCTGAATCTATTATTCTATTTTTTGTAAAAACAAAACAACAACAAATAGGTGACTTTGGTGGCTTAACGTTTTTAGCGGGAAACAATGATTGGTCAAATTTGCTGAAAAGTTGCAAGGTTGCGCAGAAACCATGTGGATTGGTTGAATTTGCGTTAATCGTTGCGATTGCCACTTCCTGGAGAGACAGTTTAAAGGGGCATTTCAATCATTTTAGCTCTTTCTAAGGTAACGAAAAC